TAGAACTGAAAACTGAAATGGTAACAAAATTTCAAAGGGCTTTTATCCCAGCTTAAAATAACACCAAACCCGTAGCATCTACAGGGTAATGTGTGAAAGTGAGTATGAATCAGCTTTAAAGTAAGAGCACTTCATTGAAAACGTGCATGTTGCTGCTTGTTGGTTTTGCTTGTCTAAATTAAACTCTGATTTTCCTCCAGGCATATATGATTAAAGCATGTCTCCTGTGTAGTCATAACACAGGGTGACAAAGCTGCCTTGGTGAGGTGTAGAGGCTTATCAGGAGGAGAGAATGATAACCTGGCAGCTTTTTTATAGTGGCCTGACAGCTGGCTTTCTGTGTACTTTTTGGTATTTATTTATAAAGTTGGACACTGTTTTGTTCATTGGATCCAGCATTGTAACGCTTCATTCAGAATCCGACTTCTGCTTTGAGTCTTCCACTCCAAGTTTATTTTAAGAGAGCCTCTGAGATATTTCAGTGGACAAATTGGGGAGTGTCTGTTACTATGGTGGCTTGAGCTGGCCTTTGCCATAGCCTGTTCTGCACTGCTTATAACGAAAAATCTTGCTTTCACAGGACCATAAATGGCTCCTGGCTGCTTGTTCCTTTGCTGTGTCTGCTGTTGGTTCTCCAGCACTGGTTACAGATGCCTTTGTGTCAGGTGCAGGATCTGAAAAGCTGCCTGCTGAGCTGCTGCTGTTCTTGGGTCTTTGATACTTGAGAGAGACTCGAGGCACCCAGTACACTCGAAAGAAAAGCATGTGGGACAGTAGGAGGGTGCCTGGGGGAAGTGTGGCAGTTTGGTGCTGCAGAGCAGCCGTGGCATGAAGAGTTACCAGCTGATGCTCAGCTGGTTTTTACAGGAGAGCCCGCAGGTCTGGCTGAGGTGAGGGACCGGTTACACATTTAGTCACGTGCATCTGCCGCCAGATGCAGACTGTACTGTGGAGAGCTTGTCGTTGGGGTGGGAGGGAGAAGACAGCTGTGTTGAGTGTGACTAACTCAGGAAGCCTTGAAATGGTGGAGCTGCGAGCAGAGTTAAGGGACTCAGATTCCCGCTCCAGGGTCAGTTCACAAGACCAGGAGTTTTCCAGCTGGTACGCGAGGATTTTGGGAGCAGCTGACTGCCTCCTCCTGCATGCACACCCCCTCCAGCGCTTGGGTTCCCCGGCACTAGGCCAACCCTGTCATCTGGCATCTGTCAAATTCCTGAGGGAGGGCAGTGGAGTGCAAGGCAGTGGGCTCAGCTACCTCTGCTGATCCAATGAAACGGGCAGGGTGGAGGCTGTGTTTTGAAGAATGCTTGTTAACTCCCCTAGTTTCTGAAATCTGTCATGTTTGCCTGCATCTAAAAGTCTAGTACGAGAACCAGGGGACACCAAAGAAGCTGGCTGGAGCCAGGTTCAGCACAAACAAATGCAGTTTCTTCACGCAACAGGGAGCAGACCCGTGGAACTCCTTGCCAAAGGTTGTTGTGGGTGCAAGAAGGTTAAGTAGATTCAGGGGAAGACCAGGCAAAAATGTGGGAAGCAATTAACTGCTGGTTTCTAAATAACAAAACGCTGTGGTCTTTAGGAAGAGCCCAAACCAGCTGGAGGCTGGGATGGTACTTGTGGAAACTCCTGCCTTGTCCTTCCGCTTGCCTCCATGTTCCAGTTACGGTTGCTGCTTATCGCTTTTCAGACTTGAAGAGTTAGAAGAATCTTGTCAGGGTATTTATGCCAGTGTGAATGGCTGTGTTTCAGAGCACAGACCCTGTGTGGTGGTCAGTCTTCCTCCTGACATTCTCTGTGTAAGATGGTGTCTGGGACGTGCTCCCCGGGACACCTGCAGTGTTATAAATGGGCCCAGAAAAATGCTTCACTCCCCGCCCCCAGCAAGCCAGACTTAGCGGTGTCCTGAATGTTACCTTGGGATGATATTTCACATTGCCCTTTCCAAGCCCTTTATCCCATTAGTGTTTTTCTGACGTGAAAAAGATCTACTTGGACTGGGGAAAGGGAGAAGAATAAGGCTACTGTTCTAACGGTGCCAGCATGGCTGACACAACACTCTGCTACGTACCCTCCTCGCTGACATGGTGAAACTTGTAAATGTAGATCAAGGCCTAATTTATTAGCAAAACTACACTTTATATCTGTTACCCCACTGTTGAGTGACAGGGGAACAATGTGTAGCTGATCAGAACCAGGAGCGTTTGTCTTGTTTAGAAGTTACAGTTGTCTGATAAACTGTTCTGCTTTGGAGCTCTGAGTTGCTGTAACTGCAGGTATCGGGGGTTTAGGGGGTAATATTTCCCCTTGATTCTGTGTAGTCACTGAAGCAGTGTCTAATTGTTGCCTTTTCTGGCCTTTGGTCACAGATTATTTGAACAGGATTGCTGAATTCCACTGGAGCGTTACCTTGGAGCGATTGTGTAATCTCGAAGAAGCCTCCCTGCTAAAAGATTTTGAATTCTGCTTCGTGATTCCTGCAGACTTGGTACAACAGGGCAGCCGTTAGCTAGCCAGCTCAAAATCTGTGTGTTTGAAGCATAGATCTGTTTAAACTTCCAATTTACTTTGTTATTTACTGTGTAATAGGAGTAACAATTAAGACATTTATCACATAGCAAAATTCTGCTGAATTATAAGAACATGAACAAAATGCAGGAGATGTGCAAAGACAGCAACTGAGATTTAATGTTTCTGAGACACTGCAGTCTCTTGTGCTTCAGAAAGCCTGTAAGTGCCTGAAATGAGGTGTGATGATTTGAAATCTGAGATAGCCTTATGGCAATAATATAATTTTCTCCCAGATCTAGGTAACTGGGCCACCAGAACACGTGTTATTACTCCTGATTGCGGTAATCTAGAAAAGGAGGTGTAGGCTATGGCTAGAGCCAAAGGGGCTGGTGCTCAGGTAGGTGTGAACGATGAGTGAGGGAGGGGAGGAAGGCAGAGGTACCTCCCTGACAGGCTCTCGGGGGTCTGGTACTGCTCACGCTTACACCCTCACCACACTGGTATTAAAATCCGTGGCGTTACTTGTGCACAATCTGTGATAGACTTATTTTCACAAGCGTTGTTATGATAGAGGGACATGTTTTATCTCCATTTTTACAGGAGATTGGAGAGTGTTTCTCCAGCATACCCTTTTGTCTGTTGCCTGCACCCAGAAGCCACAGCAGCCACCACCACGTCGTGTCTTGGCATGTGCTGCTGCTTCTGAAACCCGTGATAAGTGGGATGAAATCCATCTGAACTGGTTTCCAAATGGAATGAGCCTGGGTTGTGATGACTCTAACCCAAACTGGTCAGTTGGTTTCAAGTATAATGCTCTTCAAATTATGTTTCAAAAGAAGGAAGTAGTCTACTACTGACAGCTTGTCTTTAAAAATACACGGTTCTAACAGAAGTGAGGCTCTTTCCAGGCAGGTGTATAGCTGAGGTAGGGTCTGTGCTTGGAAGAGATGGTTGTTAAAAGTGCTGTTATTGAGATGGAAGTAAAGAGGAGGGAAATATCGGGTGGTTGCTTACACCAAAGAGGCAGCAAGTTTTTAGATTCTTGCCTCCTTGCTACACCAGCAGTACGAAACCATTATTGAATACCCTTCTTTGTCTTTCTGCATTTAATTCCTGTGTACTCTGGGGTCTCTGAAACCTGTGAGGGAGAAGGAGGAATGTCAGAGATCTGGTTTTGCTTATGCTGACTTGCTCCAGCTTTGCAGAGATGTTTTTGGGGAAACCTGTTCTGTGTCTTAAAACAAGCCTTGAAGGATGTGTGGTCGACAAACACCGTTTGTCTAGGTGGCTGCTTGTCCTTGTTTTCTGGCTTGTACGGGACTGGCACATCGTTACTGCACGGGAACTCCTCCCTTTCCTGGCTCACCTCTGACACGGGGGGCTAGGAGCGAAAGCTTTGCATCCCTCCTCGACCTGATGATCTTGTCCTTACCCGATCCAGCAGTCTAATTAGTCGTAGAGCTTAGCATGGCTTCTGAGAGCTCGTTTGTATTTGCAGTGGGTCTGTAACAGCAGTTGCCTCGCAGACATATGCAGGCAGACACTTGGAGGCTGTGACAAGGCGACTCGAGGCTCTCGCCTGCGCAGCGAGTTTCTGTGTTGCCTCGCAGACGCCTTTGCTGCACGGCTCCGGTTCTGCCTTGCTGCTGCTGTTTGCTCGCTCCACGTCCCTACATGGGTAGAGCATCTTCTGAGGTTCACGAATAAAAACAACCTACAACCTTGCTGGCTGACGCAGAAGATGGACTACGTGAGCTGCTAATTAGGCAGTGAGTCATGGAGGGCAAACTTTCTTCACTCACCAGCTTCGAGCATCAGTGACGTTTAAAGGGAATATGGGGTTGTACAACTCCCTGCTTCTGTTCTTCTCTGGACCCTGTTTGGAATTTGGAGAACTTGATTCAAAGATCCCGCTGAAATTACGCTTTTGAGAGCGCCTGCTGTAGCTGTGAGTACTGCAGAGCATGAGGAGGTCTTGGCTGGGGTTTTTTGCCCCTAAATCTCCTGGCAGGCTGGCCCCGCTCCGCACCGCCTCGCCGGGGGCTCTGGAGGTGCCTTGGACTGGTGATGGCTGTTGTGCTTTCACTTCCAAGTGACAGGGGCTCCCTGTAAAACTGTTTTCTCTGCTCAGTGGCGTTGGTCACAGCCTTCCAGAACTGGTGCTTCAAGACTGTTAACGTTGCTGTCAGTGTGTACTTTATTTATTGGGTTTGCTGAAGGCTCCACTGACAGGGAGGTTCCAGTTCTACCACTGTTGTTGAGGAAAACTTCTGAGGACTGGCCCTTGGGCCCACTTCTCTTGTTTGGTTTTGGCCGTTTCTTTTCAGAAACAGACATTTTTCAGCCATTGTTTCCTCTGGAAATTTTTTTTTTTCCACAGTTTGCAGCCCTTTCAGTTTTCATGTTTTCCTGCAGGAGCTGTAGCTTTGAGAAGTTTTGTGGCAGAGTAAATGACTTCCTGTATAAATAGTCTGGTTTTACACTTGCCCGGTATGACAAGGTAAGAATTGTCTGGCTGCAGTTGTGGTTGTCTAGACTAGGGAGTCCTTTCAGAAATACGATATGCCAAAATGTTTTGAAGTTTTTTCTTTTAGCTTGATGATTATAGTGAAGGACAGATGTGCATGAATAAATAATTCTTTTTCTTACTTGTGGATTTAGCAAGTGCATGGCAAGGCTTCAGACCCAAAGATGTGAAGAGGAGTAAACTCTGCCGTTCTTATCTCTTGTACTTTACCATTCTTCTTGCCTCTTGTATATGCAGAGACTGGATGCCACTGAAAGCCAGTATCCACTGCATGTTACTGCAGGTTTTTGTCTGCCCTTTTAGGGTGGATGATCAGGAAAACAAGGTTGTCTTCTTAAAATTCAGTTCTGATTTTTCCATCTGAAATGAGATTTCTGGTGACACGTCCCTAAGAAGTTCTTCTAGAAGGCTTAAAGAAAATGGCCAGCTTCTCATCCTCTGCTTTCCGTGGATCTCTGCAGGCATGGTCATAAAATAGCTGAAAATGGGGCAGTTGTTCTGAGTAATGTGCCTACACAACGTGTGGTGTCCTACCACTGCGGCCCAGCCTGAGCGTGTGATCCGAGAGGCGCAGGAATGATCCAAAGGCTGGTCTCGCTGCAGCCTGTGCCCCTGTGACCTCCCTTGCATGAGGGGACGTGCATCCAGCTCTGTAGTGCACTCGCTCACACCTAGCCCCGCTGATCGTCCCTTCCTTCTCTTTTTTTGTAGGGTGGCTTTTCTGCCAGGGTGGTCCCTGATCCGAGTCCCTCTGAGAACAAGTGAGCCGGAGGGGTGGTGTGGGAGAAACGGCAGCGAGACCTGTAGCCAGGCACGGGGGGAATGAGCAGAGTGGAGCCCCGCTTGGTTTTACAGCCAAGGCAATCTAATAACTGCCTGCTAACCACACTGTGTCCTAGGACTGCAGACTTTGCCCTTCGTGGCTGCTGAGAAAGCTCCACGTTGATTTTGTTACATCCCTGGACAATAAAGGGATTTATTTGGAATAAAGAGCTCTGATATGAGGATTGCAGAATTGGCTGCAGCAACTCACTGGGGTAAACAACTGGGCTGGTTTTGTGTCCACACTGAGTATGTTTGGTATGAGGTGTGATAGCCAAGTGGGAATATTTCGACTTCTGGCAGCAAAAACAGACAAGCTGAAGGAAGGGGGGCAATGACAACTGTTCTGTGTCTGTGGGAAGGAAAAGGATATGACAGAGAAAAACAGGTGTGTGTGTTAGTCCTTTGATCTGAAATTGGGTCTAACACCTCTTCTCCAGTTCCAGGCTTGTAGCCGTCAGAGGCATTTCAGGCAGCAGCGAACAACTCTCCTCCACCAGCACCTTTAGCGCTCATTGCCTGATGATCTAGAAAACTGGGTTAGTCCCTGTGTGCACAGACACCTGACCACTTTATTGGTCTGGGTGGATTAGCTGGTAGTTTAAACTGAACCGTTTGTTCACGTTCACACTGTAAAGAGATTGTACTTTGCTGGCTTTGTGCTTTCCATTGCCAACCTGTTCCTGGAATCATGCTATTGACAGTGCTAGAGGAGAGCCCAACCCATCAAGGAAACCAGAATTGCACCGGGGTGTTTGGTCAGTTCAGACCGCTTGGTCTGACTGTTGTCTGTCACCATCTGCCACCAACAGAAGTGTCAGTGTGGCTGCGGAGCGTCCTGTGGATTTGATACTTCTCTGTCATGGTAACTCCTGAATCTCTGGAAGCGGTATATGATGTCAAATAGTATCAGGTTTTGTGACACTTTTTTTTTTTCCTCTCCCTTCATCATTGAGTGGTTGTACACGGGAGCAAGTTCAGTACTGTTGGGACTGCACTAGAGTCACAGTTTCTTATGCCACTAGAAAACACGATGTATTTCCCCTCCACTCCTCATTGCACAGCTATGTGCAGAGAGAGGCTGTCAGCCAAATACTATGATTTTTTGTAAGTAACTGAAGCAGTAGAATATCCTTTCCTCCACTGGTGGCTGCAAAGGCAGTGTTGTCTTGTGCTTCACTAACAGCTGAGTTGCCTCAGGAGAGTTCTTGAGAAAATCATACAGGAGAGGCTCCTCTGAAGCAAGGGAGCCTGATTTATGCAGCGAAGCCCATGAAAAGTTACATGACGATATCCTTTCTTTTGTATTATTTTCTTGCCCAAGTTAGAGAATCACAGAAAGGATAACTTGCTTGGCTGTGGGGGGCAAAGCTGTGCTTCCCTCTCCATGTTGGGGATTCGCGTCTTTGGAAGCAATTTTATTATGCGAGATGTGTCCAGGCTGAGGTTGGACAATTGAATCTTTGGAAGATTGTATTGGTGATGTTGGTTTGAGGCATCTGCGATGAACAGAGGAGGTTGGAAGGAAGGCTGCTCACGCTCGTGGTGCTCTGTTTGCATCTAGCCCTTTGCTCACCTGAAGATTTCTCTTCCAGCATCCAGGTGGAGAAGAGGTTTTGCTTGAACAAGCTGGTAGAGATGCCACAGAATGCTTCGAAGATGTTGGGCATTCCATGGATGCCAGGGAGATGCTGAAGCAGTACTACATTGGAGAGATCCACCCGGTAAGGACCAGCTGGGTCTGACAGCCTCTCTCAAACACAAACTGCCTAAAAGTGTGACTGTCCGTTGTGTAACCCACTAAACATGTACCCCAAGATGTGTCTTGTGAAATAAGTAAGTAGTTAAGGGGTTTAGGCAGGCTCTGTATTGTTCAGGATTTCTGTTGAGGGAAGAGCATCTCTGTTGAGGAAACAAAACTAAATTAGTCTTCTGTTTCCACCATTCAGAACGGATTTCTCACCACAGTTAAATCAGGGGCACTTAAAGAAGCTCAATCTAATTGGTTCCCTCCTCAGCTGGTGGTACCATAACTTCCCCTTGCCTTGTAATTTAGGGTTCAGGAGGGTGAGAGATCACAGGGGCACGGCACAACCACCAGCTTCCTGCCTGCTACAAAGCCTGTGCCTTTGGGTGCTGAAGGAAGGACTCCTTTGAAAACCGAGTCCAGGCAATTACCCTGTGATGAGGACTGTGTACAGAACAATTCCCTCATAAAGACTGCAGGTTTCTCTTGAAGTCGGTGCTTATCTTTTTTTCTTCTTTTTTTTTACCCTTGACAGCACGATCGTAAAAAAGAAGGCTCTAAGGTAAGCTGTTAGTGTTTTATTTTGCCATTTTAATTTAATGCTGTGGAAACGATGATACGTTCACAAAATGAACAGAGAAGTTGTCACATGGCTTTATTTTTTTTTCCCCCCTTGTGGAGCTCGTGGCTTTGTGTTTACACAAACAACAGCAATGAATAAATCTTCCAAGCAAATTATGCCTTTGGTTTTGTCCTGAAGCTCAGCAGTCACCTCCGTGAAACTGGAAGTGGGTTTTTGTGCCCTCTGTCCCCTGACATCAGTGATGTTATTTCCACACCTTGAGCCACAGACCTTTTTTTTGCATTACTCGCTATGTCCTGACCACTGAACTGTTCGTGTTGTTACGTTCAAGCCAGGAGACAGGCACAGCCACCATGGGCTTGGCTGGAAAACAAGAATTCTCTGTTAACTGCCCTAGTAATCACTGGTGTTTTTTAAAACTCAGGTACTCCTGGATTAGAACAGGGCACAGTGTTGCACAAATGCCTTTGAAATGGATGGGGAGAGGGAAATGGTAATAAATAGAATCCCATCGGAGAGGTAAACGTGCGCCGTGCCACTGGCCCCTCTTCTGGCTTGGCTCGAAGGCTTGGAGCAGGCACAGCCCTGCCCTCAGCAACGCTTCCGTTAGATGGTGTTCAAGGCAGGGCGCTCGCAGAGCAGCGGGAGTCAAGAACTGTCCACACAGAGCGGTGACTGAAGCCCTCGGGAGTGTTTGCTGTAGTCAGACACAGAGAGAATAACTCGGGCTGGGTAAAGCCCACGCTTAGTGCTAACACGGGGCTGCGTGATGATGCGTATGTTCACCTTAAAACGTACTGTTTGGTTCAACTCTGTCTCATAAACAGTATGACGTGCCTAAAATGAAATTAGTAGTAATCTGAGTAGCTCCCTTGGATAGGAGTTAAATATTTTTTACAAATATTTTTCTCTTCTGAGGAGAAAGTCCAGTGAGTTATGTACAGCTAAGGTCTTGCTCCAGTGTACAACACCCGTTTTAAAAGCAGGGCCAAGGATAATTGAGAAATAGTAGCAAGAGCTAGAAGTCAGCAATGTAAAAATAAAAAAGGGGGAACCACACACACAAAACAAAATTTGTATGTTCTTGTGATGCAGCTCAGAGGTAGCTCCCCACAGGTTAAGTGTCGGTTTTCAGCATCCACTGAGTGTGTTATGGCAGAAAAACAAGCACCAGAGCTCTCAATAAATGGAGACAATTTTTTTTTTTTTTTTTGGCTGGTAGATATTAATTAAACTGGAGAGCAGCAACATCCGTGGAGGAGGAAGCTGCAGAGCTGATGAAAGCCTAAATGAGAATTTTGGCTGACTGAAGAAAGTACTTAAATTCTCAAGTTTTATGTGTTTCATGAGCTCATTTAAATTCTCAGAGTTTGGGGTTTTTTTTTGAGAGGGGCACAAGTTCCAGTGTGGAGCTGAGGAGCGGGTTGGTGGATGTGGGTGGGAGGACGAGGGCAGACGTCCCCAGAAACAAACACCCGCGCTTTTGGCAGAGGAGGGGGGGTTACTTTTACTCCATATTTGTAATCACATGTTCAGTTTTGTAGTCTTATTAGCACACGTTTAATGTTTCTTTTTCCCCCTGCTAACTCCCTCTTTCCTCTTCAGAATCCAAGTATGACATCCTCAGGCCAAGCAAGGTATAGTATCCTCTTACAGTAAGAAATTGAGGGGTTAGGGTTCTCCCTCTGTGGAACTGCCCTTAGCTCTAAGGGCAGGAAAAAAACCCCCGGGGGTGTTACTGCACCGGCCTTCCAGCAAGTGGATGGTCCAAAATGAGTCACTGAACTGCAGCACCCTGAGCTGGGGCCGGGTGTGCCCCCTTCGCTGGCAGCGTGGGCGTCCTGCCCTTCAGCAGCCTTGCTGCTCCGGCCCCCGCGCTCACGTCGCACGAGCAAGGTGCAGTTTTTTGGAGGATCTTTACCATAACCAGCCCTGTTTAGTCAAAAATCCTTACAAGCAGAGCAGGGCCCTCATCTTTTGTGGCTGATGCAGAACTCTTTTGCTATGGAGGCTGCTGAAGGTGAGCCTGTGGCCTCTGGTTTATGAGTGAGGAAGATTTATTGTGGGATAGCTGTAGCAATTTCCATCCTTGAGTCAACTCAGCTGTTTGTATAGCACAAATTACAGTCTGACTTATTTAAGGAAAAAAAAAAAACCAAACCCAAACCCAACAACCAATAACAGAAACCCCAAATTGGTTTCTGTATGTGCCGGGCTGGAAACTTCAGCAATGCAGCTGCTATTTTATAAAGCCACCGAGCCACCGTTGCAGGCGTCGGGGCCTGGCGCAGGGGCCGGGCCGAGTGCTGAGCCCCGGGAGTGCGGGTGCGAGCCACGGCCCGTACGGCTGCTCCGAGCTGAGGGGAGGCAGCTCCCGGGAGTCCCGAGATGAAAACAGACGTGTTGTAATTCGTGAGCATCTTGAATCAATTATTAACTTGATACTTTCTTCTGGTTTATGTTGTGTGTATTTTGTTTGTTTGTTTGTTGTCTCCCTCTAGTTTCTGGTCAACATGGCTAATCCCCATCTTTGGAGCACTGGTCATAGGTTTAATGTATCGTTATTACATGTTGGATGGGAGAACCTCGTGAACTGACCATGCGGGGACCTCAGAAAGCCCAAAAAAGAGGCTGTGAGAGAGAGCGCACGCCTGCACCACGTGGAGTTCTGCTTCCCTTCACCTTTTCTGCCTTGCTTTTAGCTTTGAGTCTGTCAAGTGATGTTGATATCCATGGGACCAAGCTAATACCAAGCTCTCTGTCCTCCTAACCCTGGGACCCACGGACCTGTGGTGCTCTCCTCTGGCGGTGGCGGGGCACGTGCCGCTTCCCGGCATTCTCTGCCGTCGGTGTGCGCCCCCCGCGCGTGCTCGTGTGCGCTCTCTCTCGCGCTCTCTCGCTCTCTGAAGTAAACCACAGACAACCTTTTTTTTTCTTTCAATGCCTTTTTGTTAAGCCAGACAACGTGAAACGGCTGCTTAGTGAGCCTGTGGATTTGCCTCAGTCCTCCACACTGCATTGCCAGGAATAAATGGCAAGTTGTCTCCAGTCCTTTCCAGAAAAGACGTCCCGAGATTCGGTTCGGCAGCAACTTTCCCAGTGCATGCAGGCAACACTAATTGGAGCAGCAAGAAATTGTTAGCTTTGCTACCTCTTTCTGTACGTGTCTGTTTTTAACGGTTAAACAAATATAAGTATTTTAAAAGTGATTCAGTTCATCTTGTAATATTTGTACTTGTCCCTTTAAAATGTATATTCTGTGAAACCATTTATACCTGGAATGGGGTTTGTTTGGGTGCTTTTGTGCTGTGTGGGGCAGTGCCAGAAATGGGAACTGACACGTGGCTTCCTGGAATGCAGATTTTTCTTTCTCTGTGAGGTCTTGATCTGACACATGTATTGGAAACAAAAATCATATCTATTGTGAATGTGCACCAGATGGGGGAGAACACCAAATAAATGCGATCTGTCCTCCCTAAATGAAAAGGGAGAAGAAATTCCTCTGGGACTTGTGGCTTATCCTGTTTTTGTCGTGGAATAGAGGGGTTATTTATCTCTTCTGCTGTTTTTGTGTATCGTGCAGTCGGCCTCCCCCAGAGCAGAGCCCCCGTGCGGCTCCAGTGCTGCTGCCTCCAGGGAACGCGTGTTCCGGGGTCGGCACCGCACGAAGCATCTTTTTGAATGGCAGCAAAAAGGGAAGCGACACGCTGGGGTCCTGTTTGTGAAAACCTGTCGGTTGTGGGGTTTTATTCCCTCTTCCATGAAACTGCTCTGTTCCCTGGGAGGTTGTGGAGGAGAATTTCTTGGCTGTGGAGTTACCCTCTGCCTTTTGAATAGTGCAGAGACCGCTGGAGCGGCTCCTCCTGTGCCACGTTTCGGCATGCGCTGGTTTAGTGGCTGCCCCAGCAGTGCCCGCAGAGGGGGCACCCCGCAGAGCTCTGTCTTCCCCCAGGACTTTCCTCGCTGCCATCGACGGTTTCGTCTCTTACAGTGAATTACCTGGCCAGGGAAAGGTGGAGTTCCCCAGTGCCGAGGTGGCTCTTGGATATCCTGTTGCAGGCTACCTTTGTCCCCCATTCTGCCCTGGCTGCTTTGGTGGTCTAGTTTCTGTTTATTCTGTATAAATCTGAGCCAAGGAAAATCCAGTGGGAAAGACCTGGGAAATTCTATTTAGCTGCATTTTAAAGGATAAAGGTGACAGGCCACATAGTTGTACATTAACATAGGTCTTAAACTCAGCAATGGGTCAGTCAATGTAAGTTTATGGAAAATAGATCTTATCAGTCCAACATGATATTTTTATATTCCAGATTAGCTGATAACACACTGATGTGCTGCTTGGGCTTCTGCAAGGCATCTGAATTGATAGTGCATAGTATAGTGCCCGATTTAACAAAATCGATACAAAAATCCACAAGGAGAGATCACAAAGTGAGACTGAACACCCAGTGACCGTGTGAAGAGCAGCCCGTGCTTGTTTAAACTCAGCAGTGACCCGGGAGGAGGCAGATGGAAAACCAGTGAGCTTGGTGATGGCTGCCTGGCGCCGAGGGTCGCAGGGGGTGAATGCTCTGACTGTGCCTTTGGCTTTTAAAAATGCAGAGAAACCCATGGAAATGATTAAAAGCTTGGAAAACTATTGACGGTGAGAAATGAGCCCAATCTGGCTTATCAAAGGGAAGGGCACGTTGTACCATGGAGGTGCTCACACGTGGAATAGAAACTGTCAAAGGGCCTTTGGATCTAGAGGACAGTGCTCTGAAAAAGGCCCCTAGTTAAAGCGAGAGCAGTTCGAACTGGAAATGGTATTTTTTCACATTTATCACTTGAGTCATGAACGGTGACAAGGGTTTAGTGAGGTTTTTAGTGGATTTGCTGTCAACAGAATGTTTTCAAGCCGGAAGGCACGTGCTGGCTGGCACATCATCTTACTGCGTCGGGGCGGTTTGGGGGAGCGTAGGGCCCCCTGCAAGAGCCGCCTGGTTGGGCTCCCACAGCGTCGTGTTGGCACAGGGCTGGGGTGTTGGTGTCGCTGAGATGGGGGAAACGCATCTGGTTTTTCGGTAGGCATCGCTTTCACCTGGATTTTGACTTACTTTCCTTTTTTTTTTTTTTTTTAAATACCATTTTCCTGGTGTTCTCTCTATTAAGTTGCATTTTGGCTGCTCTAAATAACTTTTTGCTATCATCAGATCTTGTCCCTTTGCTATTTACCATTGGGACAGCTGCCTCTCAATTCCCAGTTGTTACAGAGCCTTTTTGTGTTGCTGCTGTTTCCTTTCAACCGATTAACTGCCCAAGGGAGACCTTCAGTCTTGTTCCGGGGCATCTTAGAGCTGTTAAGAGCCTTGTCCAACGCCTGTGGAACCCCAAGCAGCCTCTGCCAAGCAGCTGTCCCTTTCCAGCACACACACCGGCTCCTTCCAAGATCTCGAGGTGCTTGAAGTGCATTTACAGAAGCCACATCAACGTCTTCCCACTTCTCCATTAACTACAAGCTTTGAACAGCCTCGGTGTGCCCAGCACGGGCATCATTTTTACTGGGCTGCCACCCTGCAGACCCTTTCTGAGCTCTCAGTGCGCTGGGGCTGCTCCGAAGGACGACGTCTGCTTGGTGGAGACAGGCTGGCGTGAGCTCCCTGCCCGGGTCCTCCGGCGAGGCGCCGAGGCCAGCCCACCTCTTCTTCCTTTCTTCTTTTCTTCTGGCTTGCTGAATGGTGGGTCCCATGGGTGTGAAGCTGCTCAGTCAACAAAGGAGGCATTAACTAAGCTTGTTTACTTTTATTTGAGGATTAAAAAAGACAATTCCAAATTTTTGTCCTTACGCTGAACTTCTCGCACAGCAAATACTTGTTGCCAGGTTCCCCGCACAATGCAGGCGCTGTCTCAGCTTTCACCCGGCGAGAAAAACTCTCTTGGTGAAATGAAAGCTGGGTGTGTGTGCTTTGCTTCCTTCAGGTGCTTTGGAGAAGGTGTTGAGTGAAGAACTGGAAACACGAGCACGGAGGCAGCTTTCACGGTTAAAGTAACCGCACACCGGCCACCTGGGGAAGGCCAGCAGAGCTGTGCTGGTCTCTTCTGCTGGGCCACGAACCCAAACCCCACGACTGCACAGAAGGCAACGGTTAATTGGGTTGATGGTTTGTGGAGGGTGGGCAGGAGGTTTGAGCGTGTTCCTGGGTTTGCTGAAATGAGCTGCTAAAGGGGAGGAATAGTGAGGGAAGGTGGCGCAGAGCTCTCCGTGCTGCCAGGGTGGGGCTGGGGCGGGGTGGTGAGATGGGAGAGCCCGTGAAATGCCGCTTCTTGTACCCAGAGACCGTCTGCCCGGCGAGTCGCGCTGGGCCGTGTATTGGCTGTGTTCAGTAACGGTGCGCAACGAGCAAGGGCACGATTCTGTCTTCCAACAGGCACAAAATGTCTAGTTGCTCTGTCGCAGTGTAAAGGCGCTGCTCGACAGCCAGCTGGGGTGGCTGCCTGCTTCATGGGGCTTGAAAATCCAGCGTTTGTTGTATTTTACAGACCTGACACGCTCCCATCATTTGAAGCACAGGATCTCTGCTGCACCTCAGTGGGAATTATAATCAGACAAAATGATTCGGGGGGGTTAGTATTCAGCAGCTGCTCGCTGTTTCCCGGAACAATCCTCCCTCTCTGCTGAAGTCTACGTGGGGAATGGTCGGTACTGGCAGTGCTGTGTCGGTGTAAGGTAACCGAAGGGGTAAACTGAATCCCTGAAAATTGCTCTGTGTAGATGTAGCGCAGTTTGAGCAGGAAAATTTTGGTCACAGCAACTGTTCTGCTTAAAACTAATTATTAGTTAAAGCTAAGAAAATGGTGAGCTATGGCAGACACAAGATTTGTCTTCCTGTCAGGAGAGGAAAAATCTTTTTGTTGGCATCAGTTCACGCTGAGCCTGTGCCAAAGATGATCTGGGGAGCGTCGTAACCAAGTGATGCGATTGTTCTCGCAGGGCATTGGGAAAGCAGCAGCACCCTGCAAGCCACGCAACTCAGATTTTTTCAGGGGTGAGCAGGGTTTTCTGTGAAATTCAGTCCATAGTGATCTGAATGCGGATCGTTATGAAGTTCGCAGTTACCAAGCGCTGCACCGTCATTCTCCTTCTGTTCTACAAGTGCTTATTTGTAGTGAAGATCTCTGTGGCCAGCTGATGTATTTCCATTGCTGAGTGCTGGCTGGCTTTTCCAGTTTTGAGAACGTCTGCTCTCGGATCAGCGGCTGCTGCTACAGTATTCCACCCTGTAATAATAACGAGACTTCCAACACGGGCAGCAGGGTTGCTGCGAGGGCTCCCTGATAAACTCCAGTTACCTCTGAGGAAGCCGATGAGCAGCAGCGAGGCGAGGGGAAGGGAGTTGTGTCAGCTAAGGAGCCGTACGGCGTGGGCCGGTGCCGGTAGCGCCGTTGTTGCCGCCTCTGCGGGCGCTGGCACCATCACCATGTGCTACGGGAGCACAGCGTCTTCACCGCAAGAAGAGCGTGTAGGAGGGTTGTTTGCAGTGGAGAGGTGAAACGGAGACCACAAAATACATCTCTTATTTACATGTAGACTTAGAAAAGAATATAATGTCCCACTCCCACAGCTGTCAGCAGAATGTGACTCTTAAAATTTGCCTAATTGTTACTCTCAGGGCCGTTGCAGCAGCCTCAGGGGAGCGGTACCTGGTCAGATCTTCCCAGGAGGGAGCAAGAGATCAGCAGCTGCCGACTTGCAAAAAAGAGCTGGGAAAAGGCAGTGGGAACTGGCTGCTTCAGTCCTGGATTTTAGCTGAAATAATGCAGGGAAGAAAGGCAATTAACTGAGTTGGAAGTGGAGGCTTTGGGGCGAGGGGGCACTTTGGTGCTGGATAATGCACAATCCCCACTGTGCATCCTTCACGCAGGTCCTGGGTATTAAAACTGTCCCGTGGGAAGCAGCTGCTGTGGTCGCTGGACTGGACATCCTCGGTGTGCTTGTAGGAAAGGAAAAACTGACTTGCGATAGGAGGGAAGGTTGTGAATTATTTTCTTGGCAAGCACAATTTCACTGTAAACTTTATCTTTGATCAAGAGAAATTGGATCCAAAATCCACAGAAATAAAAAGGCTTCTGAACTACTTTTAAATCTGCTTCCAAGTACTGTGGGGTCAATACCGAGCATGGTCTCGCATCTCCAAGTATCCAGGAGAATTTTCAGTGTCTGAGACAGAGATGATAAAAAAATTAGGGGAGTCCAAATACTCCGGCGCCTCCTGTTAGTCCCACGTCTCAGCCGCGGCTCTGTGCAGCTGTACGTGGCCCTTTGCTGGTGAAGGAACGTGGAGATCCTTCAGGGAGAGGGAGGAAAGTCACCCCAGCACCTGTGACAAAGGGGGAGGTGACACAATACTCAGCTTGGTCTGTCTGCACCGTCCTCTCTTGATTTCTAATGAAGCTGGTGGTTGTTTACATCATAATTGCTCTCAATCAGTAAATCTCCCATTACTGCT